CAGTGTGCACATTACTTTCCTTGTCTAATTTAATTTCACCACATCCGTTTGGAGTGGATATTATTATCCTGTTTTGTTTACGGAATTTTGAGAAGTGATGTGTCCCAGGGCACACAGCTTGGAAATAGCAGATCTGATACTTGAACCCTTCTCTCTCCAAGACCAAGTTTGTGGCTATGTATGAGAGGTGCTGCAGTCCCTTTTATGTTACTTCCTACTAGTGCAGAGGTACTCCAGATCTTTTTTTTTTTTTTTTTTTTGGTTTTGGTTTTGGTTTTTTTCCGGTACCAGGAGTTGAACTCATGACCTTGCCCTTGCCAGGCAAGCGCTGTGCTGCTGAGCTAAATCCCCAGCCCCTGGTACTCCAGATCTTACCGTATTACAGAGCCCTTTCCATCTGAGCCTTTCCAGTTTGGTATGCAGTCAAGGATATAAAGACAACAGTAATAGTAAGAAGTTATCACTTCCAACTTCTGGGTCTGTCTCATTGTTTGACTGTTTGAAAATATGGGTTTCTTAGGTACAAGTGTGTCAAGTTCTCTCAGTGTATAGTTGTATTTCGTTTTTCTGTGCCCTCTTTCATTTAAGGCTGCTATACTGAGATGTGTGCTTAGCCCCTGGCTTTAGGATGTCTTCTCATATAGTGGTCTTAGTTTGGAATTCCTTTATCGGCCCCTCCTGTCTTTACCCACCCCCTGCTTGGCAATCTTCTTACTTTAAGAATTTAGCTTAAGCATCACCTAAGTAGTTTTCTTGACCTTCCCTTTCTCTGGGCTGGATGAAGTCCCCTTGCACTGTGTCCTTTATCATTACATACGTAGAACAACATTTATAGTGTCACAGTGTGTTGATATTTGTATTTCAGTCATTCTGAATGAGCATTTTGACATGGGCATAATGTCTGAGATGTTTTTGTGTCCACAATGCCTAGTGAGCTTTTACTGAGTTATTGCCTAACTGAATTACTGAATGGTTGCTTTTATTTCTGGTGTCAGCTTTTCCAGATGGTGAAAACCTAAGAACACTGTACACTATTTTTTCAATTTGAGGGGCTAATATAATTGATCATTAATCATAAGATTAAAAGATAGTTTTCCTCTTTCTATTGTCATATAGCACAACAGCCAAACTGTACCACTGATAATTTAAAAAGCTATAACAGCTTTGTTTCTATGTTTTATTTTGTTTTGTTCTAAGACAGGGTCTCGCCAGGTAGATCAGGAGGCTGGCCTTAAACTCACTATGTAGCCCAGGTTGGCCTTGAACACGCAGAAATTGTCCTGCCTCAGCCCCAGGAGTGCTAGGATTACTGGCATTCACTACCATGCCCAACCATAACAGCTGTTATTAAAAACTATAACAACATGTACACTTTACATGTGTTAAATAGGTTGCACTTTTTTATTACATTAAAAGTTGCAGCTGAGTATAGAGCTCAGAGGCTCAGTGCCTTGCTGGGCAAGCACAGGTCCTGAATTTGATTGCTGGTACAAAAAAAAAAAAAAAAAGCTGCATAGTATTTGGAGTTTTAGGTTAATGTTAACTTTTTAAACCCATTTTGCTCTCCAAGTATAAATTTAATGGTTTGCTCTCAGGCATTGTAGTAATTCGTGCTGTGATTTTTATTTGCACTACTAATGTTATGTTTATTCACTGAGGGGCTTTAATTACTTCAAATACTTAATTAAAGCTTTTTTCTAAGTTTATAACATAATTTTAAAATTTCACTAGTTAAAGGGTAGTCTGAGTACAAATAGAAATCGAGAGACTTATTTCTTGTCAGTCTTGGTGTGATTGTAGTTTTGCAAAGCGATTTTCATCAATGAAAGACTTTTTTGCTTTGTTTGAACTTAATAGCTTATTTAAAAAGGCAAGCTCTTAAGATAAAAATTAACATCATGGTAGCTTTAAGAGCAGTGTCAAGGCTGAGGCTATAGCTGAGTGGCAGAGCATAGGCTTAGCCTGTGTAGGACCCAGAGTTTGATCCACAGCATCGTGAAAGTAAAGCAAAATACAGTCAAACAGACAAAATAAAAGCACTGTTAGAGTGTTAATGTTAAAGTGCGCCATATATATATATATATATATATGAAAGTTCTTAAATTGAAATATTGACAAAAATGGAGGAAATATATGTTGTCTATATAATAATGAATGAGGGGTCATTTTCCTTTCAAAAAACACAGTATGTGAAAGAGTTCCATGATGTTTTTCTGCAATTGCTGACGTAGCAGATATTTCTTTGTAGCACGATCTTGGACTTCTAGAGTAGGCTGTTGTCTGCTTCCTTCCCTTGCTGCAAGTGTGTCCCCTTTTGAATGGTTATCCCACATTACTGAAATTCTCTCTCCAAGTCTGGGTTTTTTTCTTTCTGTGTCCTAAGACTTAATGATGGCCAAGAACTGTAGCTTTTTGTTTGCTACTGTATATTGAGTGCTAAATATTTTTAGGATAAATAATGCAAAATAAGCAAAAAACATGGATTATTCCCCAGAAGTAATTGTTTGGGATCATGGTGATGTTCAGAACACTGTAGACCTTGGAATGTATTGTAAATTAGTACAGAACAGTTAACATGGATTTAGTGTTAAGATTATTTTAAACTAATTCACTGTGCTTCTAGTAATTTGAATTATCTAAAAATATTTAAAATGCTCATCCATGCGTGGTGGCGCACTCCTGTAATCCCAGTACTCAGAGGCTGAGGCAGGAGGATCATTGCAAGTTAGAGATCAATCTGGGCTACAAAGTGAGCTCAAGGATAGTCTGAACTGCATAGCAAGACCCTGTCTCAAAAAGACCAAAAAAAAAAGCAAGCTCTATTATTCGTCTTCTGTGTATAATACTTTACTATATTTTGCTTAAAAAATCATTTTGTATTTAAGTCTTGTTCTGTCATGTTTATTATTCTATTAATTATCCAATTCATAATTATGAATTATTCAAACAAAATAATAAAATTAGATTCTAAATATCTCATAGCTTCCTTAAGAAGTAAATTCATAGCCAAGTGTGGTGGCACACGCCTGTAATCCCAGCACTCAGGAGGCTGAGGCAGGAGGATTGTTGCGAGTTCGAGACCAGCTTGGGCTACCAAGTGAGCTTAAGGCCAGCCTGAGGTGCATAGAGAGACCCTGTCTTAAAAAAGATCAAAAAAAAAAAAAAAGTAAATTCATGTTTTGTGTATTGATAATGAAGATAAAATTTTCACATGGCTATAGGTACCTGGACCTGACCGATGACCTTGTCTCTATAAATTCATAATCTGTGGGTCTCTGTAGTATTTCTACTAGTATCATCACCAGCTGGTTAGGGACTAGTATCATCACCTCAGCTGGCCTGAGGATGCTGGTATTGTGGTTTTCCTTATTCTTAGGTTGAGTCAAGTAGAGATAGAACTTCATTTATTACCCTTGGTGGGCACGTAGTGATTGAAACATTTAGGAAAGACCAAGCCTCCTGTATAGCAAAGGAAGTAAACATTGGATTTCACTTAGTAAAAGTCCAAGAAGTTGAGGCTGCACATAATTTCGCTTCTGATATGTGTCCAGTCTTAAGTCTTTTTTTTGGTGGCGGGGGATCTTTTTGAGACTACGCAGTTCAGGGTGGCCTTGAACTCAACTTCGTAGCCCAGGTTGGCCTGGAACTTGGAGCAGTCCTCCTGCCTCAGCATCTGGAGTCCTGGGACTAGGGTGTGCGCCCCCACCTCCCACACCAGCAGTCTTTCTATTCTGTCTCGTTTTGCTTTCTCCACAGTGGCCTTCTTGCTGATAGTGGGACACGCCCAAGTGTTCCTACTTCAGTTTCTTTACATTGGCTCTTCTCTCTTCCCTCAGATGCCTGTGTAATAATTCCTTCCTCCCGAGGCTTTGCTGGTATTTTATCTTCGCATGAGGCCCTTCCTCATTGTCCTGTATCACTGCCTCTACCTCCCACCCCTCTTCCTGCCCCCTTTATCTTGCTCTGCTTTTCCCTTTGTACTTACTGACCTTGTAACATGCATGTAATTTGCATTACATGTAACTTACTCATATCCTTATTCTCTCTTGCCACGGAAACATAAGCTTAATTAGGAAGAGTTTCTTTATGTATATTCTTGTTTTGTTGTGGAAGTTTGCTGTAATTGGCCAGTGGATCTTTCCTTATTTTTTATTTGGTCTTTTTGAGACTTGGTCTGGCTGTGTAGTTCAGGCTGACCTTGAGCTCATTTTGTAGCCCAGGCTGGTCTTGAATTTGCAGTGATCCTCCTGCCTCAGCCTGTGGAGTGCTGGGATTACAGGCATGCGCCACCGCGCCTGGCCGGCCAGTGGATCTTAAGTGCCCAGAACACTGGTACCTGGTATATAGAAGTTGGTCGGCAATGATTTAATAAATGTGTTACATTTATTAAACCTGGGAAATGTGTTACAAAATGAACCGATGACAGTGGTCCTATAAAGTGGAGATTCACTCCTTACTGAAGCTTGTTTCAGTCCCAAGCGGAGCCTCTGCACATGGAAAAGGCACATGGGCTATAAAATGAGCTCAAAGTCAGCCTGAACTACAGAGCGAGACCAAGTCTGAAAAAGACCAAAAAAAAGAAAGATCCACTGGCCAATTACAGCACAAAAGGGAATGTGTTACATTAAAAGGTTCCTAGGAATTAGTTGCTTTAGTTTCTGGTGCTGAATCTATAATTGACTGGTGGTATAACTAAAACATTGAGTCTTTAACTGTGATAAATAACTTGGGATTACAGTCCGTCTCCCTGCCTCCCTTTCAGTCTTTCCTTAAATTATCTACTGCATGATTTTACTTTGTTTAGAGAGCAGAAGGATTACATTTAAAGATATTTTTGATAAATTTTGCTTTTGAATCTGTGTTTTGTTGTTGTATTTCATATCACCCAGGAGATTGTTATATATAGTAGGTTCTTCTTAAGTGTTGCTTCAGTGAATGAATTTCTTTTAGCTATACTAGATTAACAGAGAGTGACTTTTTTATTTTCTTACTGTTTTAAGAAAGGTGACTCTCGTGATGGTGGGACTGGACAATGCTGGTAAAACGGCAACAGCGAAGGGGATCAAAGGAGGTGAGCTGATGGATTATCCACTTAACTATGTTCAGTTGCTTTATTTGAAACTACATGGGGACACTGTACTGCCTTTCTTTATGTTCTTCATATCCCTGTGACCAGTATGAATGAACTCTGGCTTCATGGCAGCAGCCTATTACCATGTTTTTGATGTGAATAGATACAGAGCTCCTTGATTATCTAGGAGGGCTTATAATTGTCTTTAAGTAATAGGAAGAAAAAAATAATATATTCTTTCCTGTAAGGGTACCCATCTTCTACTTGTATTTTATTGACCAAAATTTAGTCACATGAAATGGAGGTGCAGTTAACTAGCATAGCCATCTTTTGATGCTTTTTAAAATATGATATGTAATTTTTTACAGTGATATTAAGGATGGCCTCTGTGCCATTAAGTAGCTTTGTACCATATATATTAAATTCCTGACATGTATTTAGTTGGTTAGTGTTCACTTAATGCTCTTCCATACAATGTAGCAATATCCAGGGCGGTGAGTGTGCTGGGCACTGCAAATACATCATCAGCGAGGGGTCGGAAGCATATGAACTGTGTGAAAAGGTTTCAGGTATTTGTTCTTGAAAGCCAGTGTGACAAGATAGCATGTATATCGAATAGTTGGAGAGCTTTTATTTACTAATGCCTTACAGCACTGACCATTAGAGGAGAACACGGTATAACCACAAATTCTGTGAGGCAGTGATGTAAATTATGTAATGTTGTATAAGGCTTCTCCTTAACGTCTTTGGTACCACTCCTGCTATGTTCTAGGTGCTGTGTATCTTTGCAGAGCATCAGCTGTCATTATCTAAGCCAGGAGTCAGCAAAGTTTTTCTACAGAGGCCAGGAGGCAGATTTGATCCGAGGCCATTGCATTGTATCTGAACTTCTTTCTTCTTTCTTTCTTTTAAAACCTTACATTGAACAAATCAGGTGCTTTAGAATCTGCTGACCGTGTAATTCGTTGTGCATATGTAGAATGTTCACCTTCTGTTAGGTGCCTTCTTTTATCCATTAGCTCCTTTTTCTGACCTACTTAATAAGCTGAAAGTCACAGCTTTGAGCTCTTCTATGCTCAAGTTTTGTTCTTTATCTTATATTTACTGTCCAGCCTACTCCATGGATTGACCGCCTTTAAATACTACCTTTAAACTGTTCAAAGATTCCACTGAGTTTTTTTTTTACAGATTTATTTGTAGCATCACAAATTAATCGTACTCACGTCTTTGTACTGTTGCGGATGTCATTCCCACTTGGGTGACTGGAGAGGATGTTGTGTTTAAAGATTTATATTTGCCATGTGGTCTCCTTTGTAAAGCTTACGCTAACCATTACCTTCAAACAGTCACCCTGGCTGTGTCCTCTTTTTGTCCGGCTCCTTAGGTCTACAACCTAATTGGACTTCTACTTGTTTATCTCTCCACTTCTCCAGACTGAGTCCTCCCGGGTGTTTTAATCACTTTGGTTTAGACCCAGTTGTGTAGACCACGACTCTGAGGAACATTAGGCAGCCTTTCACCGCGTCTCTCCCAGAGCCTCCGCTCTCCTATTGTTTCTTCTCTGGCCTGGCAGTGGGTTTTTACGGTATTTCCTGGTTTCTTTTGAGATACTTCTACCTCCTCCGTGAGTATGCTGCTGTTGTCTAAATCCAGTCTCATGGTCTTCCAGCTGCAGTGTCACCATGGCGTCTGGCTTGCCCTCCCTTCCTCCCTCCTCCCCCACATCCTTTATTTCCTTCATTGTGGCATTGAGGACTGAAGTCGGCCTCACCTAGGGAGCCAAGTGTTCTACCACAGAGCTAGATTCCCAGCCGTTTGTGTTTTTTATTTCCAGACACTAAGTTGCCGGTGCTGAGCTGTAACTCAGGACCTTCCTGCCTTTAACTCTTGCGTGCTGGCTCACAGCCCTGTGCCACCACCATTCCTCGTTTGACAATGGCTTCTTAACCTCTAAGTCCCTTCCCTGTCTTGAACTTTCCTGTTTTCAGTATCTGCTTCTTGGCCGAGGGATTGTGTGTGTTGGGCCTAAAACAATCATGGTTCAATAAAGCTGCAGTTTGTTTTCCTCTGGCAGCAGCTGAGACAGGCTGTCGAGGCCCCGCATGGCCCTCATGATGCTGAGACTAGCTCTGCATCCTGGCTGCTGTGCCGTTCTGAGTGCTCACCGGTGTGGCTCGAGGTTGCTCTTCAGTGTGTGTTTGAGCTGGAAGAAGAGGTACAGGTTGAGAGGAGGCCCTTCTCTCTTTTTTGAGAGCATCAATCAAAAGCTGCTCTATCACTTTAACTCACATAGCATTCACTAGACCTGAAGCCTGCCTGTTCATTTTGCTCATGTCAACTAGTGAGACCCAGATATGCAGGTCTTTCCCCAACTGTGCGTTCAGGTACCTCTCCAGGACCTGGCATTAGTTTAAAATTGGCGGTAGCTGGAGTACTGACACCATGGGAATAGGCAGGTACTAAATACCAGTCTCCCCAGTGTATACCTCCTAATCAGCTGTTAAGTATTTAACATCCCACTACCAGTTAGGACCTGCTGTCCTGGCTGTTAGCTGCCACTAAGGCTGGAAATTGTGGTCTCTTCTAAGTATTCTTGTGCCTGGAGGGGAAAAACATCTAGGAATCTATCTAATAGTGTTTCCTAATGGAAAACTACTGTTGTTTTGAGTGTGAAAATTCTTCTTTGTGTGGTTTGGTCTCTGGTTTTATTGGATATTAACAAGTCTTCTTACTTATTTTCCCCCTAGGCTGAGAGATCTGTAAGATAAGATGGATCTTACTGATTATTGTCTTTTTTTCTTTTGAGATGGGGTCTCACCGTGTAGTTCAGACAGGGCTTGAACTCACTATATAGCCCAGATGGCCTTGAGCTCATGGCAATCGTCCTGCTTCAGCCTCCCAAGTGCTGGTATTACAAATGTACAGTATACCACTATGCTTGGCTGATTATTATATTCTTGAGCCTTGCACCAGGCTTAGCATGTAATAGATCTCCAGTATTTGTTGATCATATATTTACTTTTTTTTTCTTTTTTGTCTTTTTGAGACAGGGTCTCACTGTGCAGTTCATGCTGACCTTGAGCTCACTTATATGGCCCAGGTTGGCCCTGAACTCGCAACGATCCTCCTGTCTCAGCCTCTTGAGTGCCGGGATTACAGGCGTGCACCGCCATGTCCGACTCATATATTTACATTTTATCTTGGCTTTTCTAAATACTATATTTTGACATACACTTTACTGAGAGTCTTGAGATTGAGGATCATGTAGCTTTGCTTTGCATCCCTAGTTCTTGTGATGCCTTTCCTGTAGTACCTTAAGTGCTTACAAGGATGGATAGATAAATATATAGAAAGGCAGAAGGGAGTATGGCAGCTTCCATTATGTTAGCAGTGTTGCATCGAGGTGTGTGTCCTTCCGTCTGAGTGCCGAAGATACAAAGATATGGTGCCATCTGTTGGGAAAATGTAGATGACTGTGCAGATTATCTAGAAGGTGGGATGTTGCAAGTGATAGTAAAGCAAGAAGGAACGAGAAAAGGATTTACGGAGAAGGTATTTAGTGTCGAAAGCATTTAGTCTAATGTCTGGAAACAAGAATCTTGAGGAGGACTCAGAGTCAAGAGTAGAGGGTATTCTTTGTCCTGAGTTCTATGTCCTGAAGACCTAGATTTCAGTAATAGGGGCTTTTGAATTCCTAACACAGAGTTGAATCCTAACTTTGCTAACCATACAACCTGGACAGATTTTTTCCTAATCTTACCTGGTTTACTAGGATTATTGCTATCATTTTACCTGTGCTTATATTACTCACTCTGCCTAGAAGATTGTTCTTCCTCCTCTTTTACAGTTACTTAGCTTTTAAAACCTCACATTCCTTCTCTGAAGCCTTGCTAATCCCAAACTCAACCCTACCTTTTACCGTCTTCCTTTTGAATCCCCTTACACTGTCCCTTCCAGGCTTTTTCACAGGACGCGCACATTTTGTTATACCTATCAGTTAATCTTTGTGGTAGCATCTGTTTTGCTAGCCAGTGTCCCTCCACAGAATTTCTGCAGTGGGGAGGAACAGTCTCCATTGGCGCGGTCTAGTAAGGAGGGCCACTGAGCACATGAGGCTTTTGAGCACCTGACATACAGCTGGTATGACTGAGGAACGGAGTGCTTAATTTTGTCTCGTCCTAACTCGTGTACAGTGTAAAAGCCTCATGTGCGTCTCGCAGTGCTGAACAAACTCACATGGAGTAACATTTATAGTAGACGCTAGTGAATTAGGGAGGCGAAAAGAAGAGACAAAGCTTGAATTTTTTCTGTTAGCAATGAGGTTTTATTAATCTTTAATGAGTTCTTCCTTTCCGCTGTTTGTTTTTCTTTTCTTTTTTTTTTTTTTTTGTCTTTTCGAGACAAGGTTTCATTATGCAGTTCAGGCTGGCCTCGAACTCGCAGTGATTCTCCTGCTTCAGCCTCCCGTGTGCTGGGATTACAGGTGTGCGCCACCACACCTGGCTGTTGTTTTTATTTTCAGACCTCTCTGGAAAGTAGCTGTCACTCACTTTCATTCAGCCTAAAGACTTCTTCAAGATGAGTCTCAGTAAAGTTCTACCTCAGTCATGTTCATTGTGTGCTTAGTCCGTCAGATGCCTTCCGTGGCTCCCTTCTTGTCTTCAGAACCCCGGCAGCCTGGTCTTGGTCTGCGTCTGCACTCTACAGGCTTTGCCTCCGCCTTGGTGCTCAGTGTGTCCCTTCTTTCGGTTCCTCAGTTACCCTGCTTACATTGCTCTTATGCACGATAAACCCTACCTCGCTTTCAGGCCTGGCTTCCGTCCCCTATGAGAAGTCTTTCATGACCTGCAGGGATCTTTAAGAAAGTCTCTGATTGTGTGTCATTACTACTTTGTGGCGGTTATAACCCTGTGCACGTGGTCCTATACCTTTTCTGTGTTGTCACGTATGGAAACACTCTTTTTTAAATTTTTCGAACACCCACAACGTGTTCCTGTAGAAATAATGAACTTTACTCACTTACTTTGTGAACAGCCCTCGAAATTCTCTCTTTTTTCCCCCTGAAATTCTCATTATTCCAATTCTAGCCTTAATTTGTCCAATTAATAGAGGGTGGTCCTACTCTTTGTTACTTCTCCAGTTTTTTTTTTTTTTTTGATTCTTCCTCTTTAAATGTTGATGGTTTTCTTTATAGTTCCACAGAAGTTGTAACAGTCCCTGGGAATGGCTGTGGTGTTGAAGGATTGAAATCTTTATTGTTTGTAAATTGAAGGATAAATAGCCTCAAAGGCAAGAGTTCATTCATTTATTATTAAGTGTCTACTATGTGTTAGGTGCTAGGATTATACCAGCTTTTTTTTTAAAAGAAAAATTCCTGTTTGCATGAAGTAAAAACTCTAGTTGAATATTTGATAGTATCTATCAAATTGTCTGCATAACGGGTAGGCGTGGAGATAGTTTCTGCCTGTCTAAGCAAATGATGACTATCCCACTCAGTACTAAAGCATGATAGATAACAATTTTTATGTCATTTAAGGCACAAAGCTAAATTAACGTTATTAACTTAAAGTCTAAAGATTGTTTCTTTTTGTCATTTGAAACAGAGCATCCTGAAGATGTGGCTCCCACAGTTGGATTTTCTAAAATTGACCTTAAACAAGGAAAGTTTGAGGTCACCATCTTTGATTTGGGAGGTGGAAAAAGAATTCGGGGGATTTGGAAGAATTACTACGCAGAGTCCTATGGGGTGATATTTGTTGTGGATTCCAGTGATGAAGAGAGAATGGAAGAGACAAAGGAGACAATGTCAGAAGTGCTAAGACACCCGAGGATATCAGGAAAGCCTATATTGGTGTAAGTAACATTTGGAGTATTGTGAACCTAAAGGCAGTACATTGATAAATTGCTAGTGAAGTAATTTATCTGTTACAAAATATTCAATAAGTGAAAATAGTTGTGCTCTAGTCCAATAAAATAGATACAGTTAACTGTGAGTTACTAATGCACTGAGGCTTGCTTATAACATTGTCCACAGGGATGAAGAGTTGAGGGTTTATTATGAACACACCTTATAATTAGACCTCTGGGTATTCAACTCTGTTTTACTTGAAGATTTACTTTTTAGCAAATTTTGCCTTTTGATGTAGTCTGAACAGAGTTCTAGAATAATTTTCAATTTTTTCCCCTTGTTTAGTAACATTTTTCTCTTGTCTTTTTTTGGAGAATATTTTTATGTGAAAGTTATTTCAATGGCTTATTTTTCTAATGCCATGCTGATTTTTCAGTCTTTATAAACTTCTACCATTCCGTATTGCATTCATAACCGATATCATTTTGTCCAGATGCTGGACAGTTTTTAAGATCTGGCGGTGGACTTCTTCATTGCAGCAACAGACCTTTACCTTTGCCCTTTGTCCCTTTTCCCTCATTCTTGTGAGTACAATAAGGCTTTTTTAAAAATTGACTTACGTGGTTAGATGAAAAATTTTAAGTATAGTTTCTCAGTGGTCTTCAATAGTAAGTGAAGATTTATTTACTTATTTATTTATTTTTTGTCTTTTTGAGACAGGGTCTTGCTATTCAGTTCAGGCTGGCCTTGAGCTCACTTTGTAGCCCAGACTGGCCTTGAACTCGCAATGATGCTCCTGCCTCAGCCTCCCGAGTGCTAGGATTACAGGCGTATGCCACCATGCCTGGCAAAAGTCAAAACTAGATTACATCATTTATTGATAGAGTTTATTCTTCAGAATTTTTATATATTTTAACTCAGGAGGGAAGTTACTTTATTTATATTATCAATTCTCACCTTTATTGAATCTGAAATTAATTTCAGTAGAGATATATATGAAAGTGAACTTGGTTGAATACCATAGGCCAGATTAGTCTCTATAAATGTTTAAGCAGAGCCAATAATTTCTAAAGGACGAACACTTTTTTATTTGCCTTTTTTTGAGACAGGGTTTCACTACACAGTTCAGGCTGGCCTCGAACTCACAGTGATCCACCTGCCTCAGCTTCCCAAGTGCTGGGATTACAGGTGTGCGCCACCATGCCTGGCCAAGGACAAAATACTAATGACGGTTGATCATTTGTAAAATAGGTGTGTGTACATTTTAGTCAAATAGTCTTTTTTTGTTGTTATTATTTTTTTTTGAGACAAGGTCTCACTATGCAGTTCAAACTGGTTTTGAGCTCACTTTATAGCCCAGGCTGGTCTCGAACTCACAACAATCCTCCTGACTCAGCCTCTGACCAAATAGTCTTTAATTTGGTGTTTTGTGTGCACATTTATTCATTCATGCATATAAAAATTCGACACATTTTTTGAGCACCTACTGTGTGCCAACCATTCTGGTGAGGATATGTGTTTGAAAACAAAAACTGCACAACTCTGACTTCTGGAGCTTACATTCTAGGGAGAAGAGTAATAAGTATAGTTCATAAATCACGTCACATATTGTGATGAGTATGTTGTGAACAGTGTGTCAGGTAGAGGGAGAGCAGTAACGAATGGCGGCATGATGACCACAACGTGGTGCTGGGGTGCTCGCACAAGTCAGATGATCCCTGCAGGCGTTAGGGAGTGGACCAGGTGTCAGGAGAGGGAGTCAGCCCTGTAGACATCTGGGGAAAAGTCCCAGAATAGAAAGCCCCAGAGCAACAGCGCGTAATTGTTAAGGAGCCACAGTGATTACTGAGAAATGGGAAACTCGGCAAAATAAAAATGCTGTCAGCCCTGTCATCTCCCTCAGCTAGTGACTTAGAATAGAAACAAACAAGTGAACATGACTGTGGATAGTGCTTCACCATTATCATTTGGTAGTCGATGAGAACTCACAAAGATGTTAGAATTTATTGTGGATATTATACATGTTTTTAAAGTAGAGGATGCTTTGCCATTTGAACTTTTTTCATGGCAATTCTTAAATAATACATTTTTGCGGGCGTGGTGGCACAGGCCTATAATCCCAGCACTGGGGAGGCTGAGGCAAGAGGATTGTTGCGAGTTCGAGACCAGCCTGGGCTACAAAGTGAGCTCAAGGCCAGCCTGAACTGCATAGCGAAACCTTGTCTTTTTAAGAAAAGAAAAAAAAAATCATACATATATATTTATTTATTTAAATTGACATACAGTAATCGTACATGTTTATGGGTTCCAGTGTGACATTTCAGTACATGCAAACATGTATAATGATTAGATCAGAGTAACTGGCGTATGTGTCAGTTCAGAGATTTATCCTTTCTTTGGGCTGGGAACATTCAAATGTTCTCCGCAGCCTGCTTGGGAGTACTCAGTTATTGTTGAGAGCTGTAGTTGTCTTCCTGTGCTATAAGCATTAACCTTCATTCCCTCCGTCCGGAGGGTGCTGCGCCTCTGTGTGTGTTTATAACCTTCTTCCCCCCAGACCCTGCCCCATACTTTTTCCATCTCAGATAAACACTGTTTTTTCCTTATTTCTTTGAGATCAGCTTTTCAGCTTCTACGAGTAAATATTGCCCTTCCTGTGCCTGACGTTTAGCTTCATACATGTGCGCTAGTTATACTTACGTTGCTGCAAAGGACAGGCTTTCATTCTTCTTCATGACCGAATAATGTCTCCTTGTGTGCCGTGGTATATACCTAGATGTCCCCAAGAGCTTCATGTGCTCACAGGTGGGCTTTGGGAGGATGATGACTCACGGGGTGCTCTGGCCGACTTGCTGTTAGGCAGCGGATCTGCCTGGAAGAGGAGGTCCCAGGCATGGGACCCGGCAGGGTGTCTGTCCCTTCCTGGCGCCTCGCTTCTCTCAGTTATTCCTGGTCACAGAGAAGTGAGCAGCTTTGCTCCTCTGTGCAGCCCTCCTCCTCTGCCGCCTCTGCCTGGAACTGTTGGATGATGCAAGGGCTAAGCCTTCCAGAACTGAGCCGCAATCAGCTCCCTCCTCCTTCAAACCCAGGCGTCAGCTGTCTTGTCCCAGCAGGCGACAGTTACTAAGACTGCATTTTTTTATCCATTCATCTGTCGATGGACATCGGGAGTGATTGTGGCTCTTGTGAATGTAAGAATTTCAGTCTCTTTACTTGTTACTGATCTTTTTAGGTTGTCTATGTCTTTGTGGTTTCTGTGTCTTCATAGTAATCTTGGTAGGTTTATGTGTACAGAAATTTATCCACTACTTAAAGATTTTCCAGTATGTTAGGTAAATGTTCATAATGGTCCCTAATGAACATTTGTATGTCTGTGGTATCCGTTGTACTGTCCCCTTTTTGTGTCTAATTTCTTTGTTGGAATTTTCTCTATTTTTTTTTCTTAGATTAACTGTTATGTGTTCAAAAAAATCTGTTGTTTGTTTCCTTGGTTTTGTAGTTTTTGGTGTCTATTTTGCTTATTTCTGCTCTGATCTTTTTTCTTGTACTAATTTTGGGTTTGGGATATTCTTTTCCAATTCCTTGAGTTGTTACACTGTTTATTTGAAGTCTCTCTGTTTCTTTTATGTAGGTCCTCATTGCTAGAAATTTTTTAGAATTCCTTTTGCCATATTCCGTAAATCTTAGTGATGTTGTGTCATCATTTGTTTTAAGAAATTTTTAAGGTTTTCCTTTAATTTCTTCTTTGACCTGGGAGCTTCTCAAGAGAATTTTGTTTATTTATTTTTATTTTTTATTTATTTTTGCAGTACCAGGGATTGAACTCACGACCTTGCGCTTGCCAGGCAGGTGCTTATGCCACTGAGCTATATCCCCAACCCTGAGAATTTTGTTTAGAAGATATGTGCTATGGTTTCAATGTTTTTTAATTTCTCACTTATTTTTCAGTCTAACATGGTCTGTCTTAGAGGATATTCTGTAGCTGATGAGAAAAATACATATATTCTGCCACTGTCGGGTGGAATATTCTCTGGAAGTCTGTTGGATGATGTGTTTTTTGTCATACAAATTCTGCTGTTTCTTTTTTGACTTTTAGTCTGGGTAATCTGTCCATTGATGAAAGTAGGATATTGAAATCCTCAACTACTGTTCTTTTTTTTTTTTTCCCCCCCCCGGTACCGGGGATCGAACTCACGAGCTTGCGCTTGCTGGGCAGGCGCTGTGCCGCTGAGCTAAACTAAATCCCCAGCCCCCTCAGCTATTGTTCTATTAGTCTGTGTTTTCTTGAGATCTAGTACTCTTTGCTTTATATATTACATGTCCAGATGTTGGGTGTACATATGTATATTGTAATTGTTCTTTCTTCTTGAATTAATCTCTTAGTGATTATATAGTGATCTTCTTTGTCTCCTTTTGCAATTTTTGATTTAAAGTCCTCTTAACTTTTTTGTCTTTTTGAGACAAGGTCTTACGATGCAGTTTAGGCTGTTCTTGAGCTTACTTTGTAGCCTAGGCTCGTCTGGAACTTGCAGCGGTCTTCCTGCTTGAGCCTCCCAAGTGCTGGGATTACAGGTGTGTGCCACCATGCTCAGCTTTTTTATCTTTTACAAGTAATACTATTCCTATTTGCATTTGGTTCCCATTTGCATGGTATATCTTTATTCATCTTTTCACTTTTAATCTGTGTGTGTATACACTGATGAAGTGAGTCCTTTTTGCAAGCAGCATACAGTTTGGTCCTGGGCTTATTTTTTAACTCACTCAGCTAGTCTGTCTCTTTATTGGGAAATTTAATCTATTTACATTTTCAAAATAATAATAACGATAATAATAATAATTACTATTATTTTGATACTGGGAACCTAACTCGGAATCTTGTGCTTGCAGACAGGCGCTGTGCTGCTGAGCTCTATCCCCGCCCCCTCAAGATTTTTATTGAAAAGTTAAGAGCTATTTCTGTCATTTACTTGGGTGTTTTGTATATTTTTCCTTTCTTTTGGCACCT